TCTTGGAGAATTATTGATTGAATTTCATAATATGATCGTTAAGTGGCTAATTGACACATGTCATGGAGCTGGCAAGTAGTCAAAAGCATCGATGACTGTCCGGCTAATGAGAAACCATGAAGATGCATGCGTACATACATTACATAAGTTTCATATTGTTTCTCACGTACCAAGCTACCTTATAAGGTTAGTTGCATGTGGTTTGAGTTGGAAATTTGAATCCATATATAGAAAGAAAGAATGACGAATAATATAATCAAACGCAAGCTAAGAGCTTTGAAAACCTAAACATGCATGTTGATGAATTTGTGGTTGTTTGATATCTCTATACAGCTATACTACAAACAATAGTAAAATCATAACCATAAATGGAAATGATTGATAATGTTTGTTTAATTTTACTAAATTTAGACGGAGGTAATACTACATTAATATGTACAAGAACGAAAGGTGAAAAACAACGGGTTAATAACATATGAGATTCTTTATTTATAGTGATATTTTCGTTTTTCAAATCTTTGACTAATTACTAATGTGATTAATTTAATTAGTTTATTCACTTTTTTATTTAAATTACTATGTCCTTATTTAGTTGTCATTCACACCCTATTATTTTGGGTTACACGTGAATATATATATATATATATATATATATATATATATATATATATATAAAGAGAGAGAGATGAGTTCGGGTGCGGGGATGATCCCAGGTACGGTCATACGGTTAGATTTGAACCGTTGATCAAATATAGATCAACGGCTCAAATCAATGAAAATTTTAAAAAATGCGTGTCTGGAAGAAAGAAGCAAAGTTAAAAATGACGCACCTTAAGTGATAGAAACATGCACCTTAAGTGTTGAACAATGCACCTTAAGTGTTAAAATGGCGTACCTTAAGTATTAACATCGCGGACCTTTAGTTTATAACAATGACGCACCTTAAGTGTTAAAACAACGCACCTTAAGTGTTAAAATGACGCACTTTAAGTTTTGTTCAAAAGTTTTGTTATTGAGGGTCTGAGCTAGGGGTCTGGCGGACCCCCTCAATTCAAAAGTTTTGTTCTTGAGGGTCTGAGCTAGGGGCCTGGCAGACCCCTCAATTCAAATGTTTTGTTCTTGAGGGTTTGAGCTAGGGGTCTGGGATACCCGTGACTCTGACCCCTTAGTTCAAAAGGAATACCCGTGACTCAGACCCCTATATATATATGTTTAGGATTAGGTGCACATGCCACTTCTCGTGCGAAAATGCGGTTTATGCACTTGAAGGCTTAAAATCATGCACTTGAAGGTTTTAAAAATGTGCACTTGAAGGCAAAAAAGTTGCATTCGAAGGCAAATAGATGTGCAATTGAAGCAATTTATGGTGCCAAAAATGGATGTTATTTAACTTAAGTGTTATTAAACCAATTACCCATACAAATCGTTTGTAAATCTCACAAATTTCATTAGATATTTAGTTATATGTTATTGAAAAGAATGCACAAGATATAACAAATACTGCCCAGAAGTTGTGCACTTGAAGGCAAAGAAACATGCACTTGAAGGCATAAAACTGTGCACTTGAAGGCAAAAGGGTTCACCTGAATGCTAAGTTTTTTTTTTTTTTTAATTTTAATTTTTACACAATAGTAAGACACACATACACTTTTAGATATTAAATTGAGCACTTGAAAGCATAAAGATGATCACTGGAAGGCAAGAGAGAGATGAAAAAAAAAAGGACACTAAAAGGGAAAATTCGAATGAAATTAATTATGCACTCTTAGAAAGGAAAACATGCACTTGAAGGCTACAAAACGTGCACTTGAAGGTCAAAAGATTTGCACTTAAAGGCACAAAGATGTGCACTCAAAATTGAAACTAAGTACTAAAATAAAAGTGATGCACTCGAAGAAGAAAAAATATGCACTTGAAGAAGGAAAAATGTGCACTCATAAACAAAACAGAAGCTGACTTATTTACTCAAAATTACAAATATGTCACCGCGTGTTTTTTAATTAAAATTCAATTTAGATTGCATCTAAATTGTCCTATTTTTTACCTGACTTTTTTATTTGATCCTTATTATATATATATATATATATATATATATATATATATATATATATATATATATATATGGTTGTGTTTTGGCATGCCTTTCCTGTTTTCTTTAGGAATACAAGGGGAACCATCTTCATGGTCAAGCTCCTCGCGCAGCGCGCTGCTCCCTATTTTCTACAAAAACGTCTGTGATGTCTTGATGCTTTGCTGTTGCCGTTCCGTTATATTGTCGATTGTTGCCATATATGTTTTTTTTTTTTTTTTTTATATATAACTCGGATTTCTTGATTTCACCTGATTGTTATTAACATTTTTGAATTAGAAGCAAAAACGTTTTTTTGTTGCCTTTACTTCTTTTTTTTTTTTTCAGTATATTTGATTTACTCTTTCAGTTTCATTTTACTTAGTATATTCATTTTACTTAGTATGTTTACTATTCATTGGTTAATTAGGATCTCAATCCGCATCTCATTTAAATATATACTATTTAGAGCAACCTCAACCAATTGTTGATAGACTGTTTACTTGGTAACTACATAGTTAAAAGTTCAATTCCCAGCAGAAACGGCCTATTGGCCTTCTTGGTTAAGATGATTTATCTTATTGTAGTCATTTGCCGACTAGGGTCACAAAACGAAGTTTATTAAATGCACACCTTCAGATAGTGATTGTGTGCACTGTTTCTCTTGTTAGTATTAAAAACAAAAAAGTAGCTATTTAATTTGAGGAATTGATGGTTAGTGAGTAGGAAAAGAAGGTACCATGCATGTTAATATGTTAAATATATTTATATAGAGGTTAACTTTTGTGTATAGTTTGACTTTCGAGTGGTAAGAATGGAATATCTACCCATATTTGGTCTTATTCTGACAAAAAATGAATTGTGTTAACCTAGCATGATCATGTTTAATTTTGTGTATAGTGTCATTTGTGTGTGTGTGTGTGTGTATAATATGGTGTTAATAGATGGTAGGTTTAATAAATTAAATCAAATAGTTCATTAATGTAGTCAAATTCACAGATATTTGGTCAAAACAGCATTAAAAAAACAAGGCAAATGAGTAAGGGGAAAAAAGAAAAAAAGAAAAAAAAAACCATTCAATATCATATCATAAGTTATGTTATGGCTGCAGTATTACTTAGTGGTTATAAAATTTAAATCGTATATGAAGATTATGAGTTTAGTTCTTATTAATATTTATATCGTTAATTTTGTTACACAATATTTTTTAATGTATTTTATTTCTCTTATATGATTTGTGTGATTATTAAATAAAAATAGTGTTTACCCAATATATATACACGCTCAAATAATAACTCTAATCTAAATTTCTCATCACTAAAAAATAAAACAAAACAAACAAAAAAAAAAAAAATTAACCCACTATAATTGTAATAATTACTCCTCCGTAAAATAGTATGAAAGTGGATAGCGCAGCATTCCAACTTTATAATTTTTAAACCCCAAATAAAATAAATTAATTAAAGATTTTATTTTGACTTCTACTACATGAACTCTTACAAACATTGATAAGTTATCTTCATTTCATACGTCCCAATAAATATGACTACATTAAAAATTGAGTTAATGCTCAAAATCGTCCTCGACTATAGTGGTTTTTCTCAATTTCGTCCTAAACGACTTTGGTGACCTAATATCGTCCCAGACTTTTGTGTTTCGCGCAATTTAGTCCCAGACTTTTGTATTTTTGCTCAATTTAGTCCCTCATTTGTTATTCTGTCCATTTGGTGTTAAATAAATACACAATTAAGTAATTTTAATATTGGCATCTCTTTACTCATAGACATGTGAACTGCGAAATTTCTTTTTTTTTTTTTTTTACGAATTACTCCCATAATTACTCATAAAACTGCGAATATAAAATTTGATTTGCAGGTACGGGAGTAATTCTGGGTGTAATTCGTACAAGAAAGAGGAATTTCGCACTTCACAAGTTGAAAATAAAGAGATATCAATATTGACATTACTAAATTGATTGTCCCTTTATTTAACACCAATTTGACAGAATAACAAATAGAGGACTAAATTGAGCGAAACACAAAAGTCTGGGACGATATTAGGTCACCAAAGTCGTTTAGGACGAAATTGAGAAAAACCACTATAGTTGAGGACGATTTTGGGTATTAACTCATTAAAAATTTGTGAGAGAGTAAGGAGAAGTTAATTTTGGGAGTCCAAGTAGTATATTTCCTTCAAGTATATACAAATTATACTATGGATAACTAACATTGTTAGTGTGGTGGTTTAGCACCTCATCCCTTAAGCATGAGGTTGGGGGTTCAATCCCCACCCATGTGAATGTGCACATCCCATTGGGACAACAAATTAATCTTCTGGCTATTGGTTGGAGGGATACCTTTAGACAACCAAAAAAAAATTATATTGTGGACCACAATTTACTTGCATTACATTTTTGGACAAGATTAAATTGTCTTAAAATTAAGAATATTTACCTGTAAATAAATTGAAGATATATAATATAGACATCTTCACCATGCACATCGATAAAAGGTATTACATTTTTAGACAAGATTAAATTATAATAAAATTAAAAATTCTACTACATGTACTTTCAAATCTTAATCTCCCAATTTTGCTCCCTGACGTGGCTAGTTTTGATAAGTTATTTTTTTTTATGTGAATTCCAATACAAGTGTTGCCATCAAGATTTTATGTGAGAGTAAAAAATGAGACTACATAACATTTTCCTAAAATTAATTAAATTGTAAAAGTAAAATTAGAAACATGATGACGTATAAAAATATAAAAGGCTGAAAAAGAAAAAAAAAAAAAAAAAAAAAAAAAAAAGAGGAATGGCGCCAAAAGTTGTCGTATCAGGAGAAAATAGGAGTTGGTGGGACCCAAATACCCAATACTTCGATTATTATGCCTTGTAGTGCATGCTATAAAAGTCCCTCCCTCGTATCCCTTACTTTAGTCTACTCTTTTCCCAGCTTCCATTTTCCTTTTTGACCAAGCACCTACTATCAGTAACCCACTCCCTCTCTCTTTATACTCTTTTCGATCCTCTCATCGCCTTTACCTCTCTCTTTATTATACACACTACACTCTATATGTATATACTTTAATTCAGGCCGCCCGCCTAGCAAATTAAACCTCTACATACATACATACACTTCACTATAATGAAGGAGAGCAGCTGGAAGAGGTTGTCGTCGCCGCCGTCTTCTTCGCCGCCGTGTGCGGCGTGCAAGCTCTTGCGGAGGAGGTGCGGCCCCGACTGCGTCTTCGCGCCATACTTCCCCGGCGACCAGCCTCATAAGTTCGCCAATGTGCACAAGGTCTTCGGAGCTAGCAATGTCAGCAAGATGTTACAGGTAATATATATATATATATATAAACTCAGTATAACAAAAAGCAATATATTCTCACTGTTATATTTTACTGGTCCAAATTACTATTCACTAGTGAAATGAATTATTTTTTATTTGCTTAATTTTGTTAGTTTTTTAATTGTTTTTAAATTTAATTTTTAATGTAGTTTCTAGATATATGATTTTTTTATATTAATATTAAATTTAATGGACAAATCTTATTAATTAAATTAGACATATAAAATGAGAAAAAAATGAGTATATAATTTTACTAATATTACTAGCATTTGTGTCAATTGACGCAATAAAAAATTCTTCTTTTTATTAAATGCCTAGAAAGTTAAGATTGACATTTAAAAGTATCTAACAACCATGCATATATGCTTTCTCACGTAATTTATAAAGTTTATCTAATTACGATATTATTCAATTTTCACATCAATTATGATCAGTCGAGTGGTGAATGTATTTAACTATTTCTTAGGTTCGTCATTTTTTTTTTTTTGAGTGAAGGTTCATTCATTTAATTGTTATGAAATGTGTGTTGCCTAACTATGGTTGACATTACCCGAGTTAGAAAACCAACCCAACTATTCTTCCCAAACTGAGTAATTAAGCATGTTGGCTAACTACTACACTCTTGACCATAGAATCCATTATTTAGTTGTACGTGATCATTATCCATAAGAAGTTAACAACATATAAACGCTACAATCATCAACTAACCCCAAGAAAAAAATTTCCATTTTCGTTGACAACACACATAACCAACATCCTCAGGTTTGACCACAATAAATACCGTAACAAAGAAAACAGGTAGCAATCCTTTGACCTCTGAAAGATTGCCACAACATCATATTATTGACTATTGACACTTATATAGGACAAAACTTTTTTTTGAAATCATATAGGACAAAACTTGATCTAACGACCATGTCACATTTTCTTCCGTTGCAACCCCATACACACTTCATGGTCATAGAGCCATATTACTAATGCTTTTTTAACTGACCAGAGAAATTTACCGTTACTATTTCAGGTTATATACTAAGTAAATTTTATTTTGTGATCGATCGGTAAAGTTAACTGACTGACTCAAATCAATAAGGGTAATAGGCCAGTAGAGCAGGAGTCGAACTTTTAACCTTATGGTTACTAAGTAAATTGATCAACTTGGCTAAGGGTGTCCCTCATATTACTAATGTTAATTAACATGACATGGTCTGATTAATCTTTAAAAACGGAATTATCATTATTTTTTTAAAATAAAATTATGATATGTGACAGGAGCTGCCGGAGGAGCAGAGGGGAGATGCGGTGAGCAGCATGGTATACGAGGCGAACGCCCGGGTGCGGGACCCGATATACGGGTGTGCCGGAGCCATATCATCTCTGCAGCAGCAGCTGGATGTGGTTCGGACCCAATTGGCCATGGCCCAGGCGGAGGTGGTCCACTTGCGAGTCCGGCAGGCCGCGGCCATGAGTTCCAGCCCACAGAACAGCGGCTCTCCCCCATCAATTGTTATGGGGTCGCAGCCCAGAGGGTACTTTGAGGTGGACACAGATGTGGTTGACCAGCCAGGCTACTTCTACTCATAGCTCATATTTTTGGTTTTATATATATATATATATACTACGTACTTGTTAAGAGGGAGAAGGTAATATTTTAGTAGCTGTTAAGAGCTTGAAGGTAATACTATTTATACTAGTATATAGTTTAGTATCGAAGCCCGACCGAACCGAGAGTTTAAGGTGTAATTTGGTGATAAATTACACCTGTTTTCTATCTAGTAGTAGACTCGAGTTCGAGTAGAGGCTTTATGGAAGGTAGGAGACTCTATCTCCAATCTTTCAATGTTGTTAAGCTATTGTCTACATATATATACATCTTTATATAAAATGTTGTTACTATATAAGAACATTATTAGTTCTTTTCCCTCTCTAGCCTTTTCAATTCCTTTTGCAACCAAAACTTATCTCGGTATTCATTCCTAGTAATATAAAACTAATTTGTAAAAGGCGTAAAGCACTCATCGAGCGGTGGATGGGCGTTTGCCTCTTTTTTTTGGTGTACCAATGATTTTCACTGTTGGACACAGTGGCTAATCTCATCGCTGAATTGTAGACACCTCTACAGAGTGAGACAACTGGACTTGAGGATTTAAAGCTACTCCATACCTAAAGTCAAGGATTAAACCCTTAACATTTGGTGAAACCCGACATTTGCTAGTCACCATAGTCACACTCAGACTTTCAGGAGCGAGTTATGCCCGAATGCTCTTTGGAACTATATTGGTGGTTAAGAATTTCTCACATTTTAATTGGCATAAGTTAGAGTAGAGACAAGAAGTTCAATAGGGTGTAGCTTAGTGTTCAAATTCAAAGAAAGGCATTGAATACTTATAATATCAGGTAAAAATATACAAACACAAGATTCATAAAATTCCCAACTCCTCCTTACAAACTCAAATTCAAGCTCCTTCCCACCACCTTGGTCCTCCATCAAATCAAATCCACGTTCCCAGTACCTAAATCACAAACAAAGTCAACTCAACTCAAACTTCTTGAAACCCTAAATCAGTCTAAATTGTTCATAGCTGACCAGCTCAAACTAAGAATTCAGAAAATGGATGTTTGGAGTGAGGTTTGATTGATACCTTAAGGAGGGAAGGAGGGATTTAGACATTAGGGTCAATGAGTTCGCCGGTGACTAACTCTCTGTAGGCAGCAACGGGCCAGATGAAGCCTCTCCAGACGAGCCTGTTGGCCAAAGGAACGTCGATGATGATCTCCTTCTGGGTCGGCTTCTTTTCATCCCTAATGGCGATCAGGTAGCTCCGACCAACCCACCCGATCCACCCTGCAATGTACAGGAAAAGGATCCCCGGCGTGATGAACTCTCCCCAGTGTCTCTGATCTCCGCTCACTATCAAGTGCGGCAGCCCGTCCGACCCGCACAGCAACCCTTGCTTCCCGTAGTTGTCGAACCTGCAATTTTCAATTTGGTATCAGAGTAGGTTGTGAAATATTAATTTGGTATCAGAGCTTAGGTTGTGAAATATAGTAGATTACCTGCGCTTGGTTTTCTCAATGGTTGCCTGGAGAGCGAGAGCAGGGGCGCTGTCGGGGGCGTACTTATTAATGGCGGTTTCAAGCTTCTTAATCTGCTGCTTCTCCCGCTTGGCGAACTGCTTGGACTCCTTGCATGGGGTGAGGCCGGCGATGTCGGCGGAGGCCGGGAGCACGGGCGCCGACAGGAGGACGGAGGAGAGCGCCAGGGCGGCGGAGAACGCCTTCAATGACGACGAGGACGACGACGACGGCTCTGAGCTTCCATTGTTAGAGGGAGCGGCGGAGCAGAGTATCGTGGCGGCCCTTGCCGGCTTTGTGATCAACTTGGATGTTGGACTGATGGGTTTGGAGAGATTTGTGGGAATTGTGAGTGACATTTTTGGGTTCTGAATTCTTCTTCTTCTTCTTCTCCTTCCCGGTTGAGTTGATCAAATGGATGGAGGAGTGTGGAGAGATGGTTTTTAGATTTGGGTGGAAGAAGATTGGTGGTGGAGGGTGAGGATAAGGTTACGAAAGAGTAAGAGAAGCTGAGTTGGAGAGCTGTGGTTGGACAGAAGTGTCTGCTTTGTGTGTTTTTCAGATTCTCACTGGTCACTACTCTATCTATTTGTGACAACAATTGGATAATATAAACACAGGATATTACAATCCTGTTCTCGTTGCATCCACGGTCACACTAAAATATATATCGTATTTGTAAAACAAGATTACACCTGTCCCACCTGTTTCAAGTTTAATTTAGTGGTATATCGTCACATGTGTTTACATGACCGATTTTATAAATTCAAATAATAGGTTGTAAAACTCTATAACTTAGGTCCAAAGTTAGGCCTCTAACCTGCAAATAGTCAAATACTATTTGAAAGTGTGCACTGAGTAAAACTTAGTTGATTAGTTTAATCAACAAGGCTTATATATCGCTCTGAGTATTTTAAACCATGTAACTACCAAGTTAACAACCTGACCAACTTATAAGTGATTGCTGCCAAGAGAGAGGGATCTTCATGTATTATATACTTGCATACTATTGTAATTTTACCTCACTAAAATAGAGTAAATACCCAAAATGGTCCCTCAACTATAGCTAAATTTACAAATTGGTCCTCGACTTTTAATTTCAACCAATTAAGTCCTTAACTTTGCAATTTTAATCCAATTTGGTCCTTTGTCTATTTGACCGTTTGTTGACTGCGTTTTTTTAGGATATATATGTAATTTCATGGTCCATCGTCGGTTTTTTAAGGTTCCAGTTGCATTTCTAGATCACACTGTTACATTTGAATCCATTGCCGACGCTGCACCCTATGCTGGAGAGATTATAGCTTTTGATAGATAGATCGCCGAAGTCCCTGGAGTGGCTCTTCGAGAAAGCCGTGACTCCAAGCGATGTAGGCAAGCTGAACCGGCTCAGGATCCCCAAGCAGCAAGCGGAGAAGCACTTCCCTCTCCGAAATGGCGCTGTCACCTCTAAGAGCGTTCTCTAAGCTGAACCGGCTCGTGATCCCCAAGCAACAAGTAGAGAAGCACTTCCCCTTCCGAAACAACGATGTCACCTCCAAGAGCGTTCTCTTGAACTTTGCACGTGAAACTTCATATATATCCTCAAAGATCGCGGTCAACAAACGGTCAAATAGATGGAGGACCAAATCGTGTCAAAATTGCAAATTTAAGGACTTAATTGGTTGAAATTGAAAGTCGGAGACCAATTTGTGAATTTAGCTATAGTCGATGGACCATTTTGGGTATTTACTCACTAAAATATAATACGGAGTAATAAAATCTCACATTTCTTATATTCTTGTCTCTCTATTATTGTTGTTTATTTAATATTGACAATAATAAAAATGTGATATTAAATCCCAGTAACATTATATAGGCATGCTACTAAGGCTGGAATTAACCCCGAAAGAGGAGAAATATAATTACAAGATGACATGGAATTGATGTAGAAAGAAAAAAATATGATTACATGGGTTGCAAGCTTGCAACCCTATCAAAAGGCTATTGCAGCCTTTTGTCCTTATTTTATGTTTTTATTTTTGGATTTTATTTATTTATTTTGTTTTGATGCGATGTGAAGGTGGATTCCTTTTGAAACTGAGAGAGTTTTACAATTGATGTAAGTAAAATAATAAAGGAATTGTAAATTTAGTAATGTGAAAGTAAGGCTCACTTTTAAAAATGAGAAAATATTGCGTGGATAAAGATAACCTAACACTCTAGTGCATCTCACACAATGTGTCAAATTGTCAATAGTTAATTGTGGCAATTATACCCTGCATCATAACCAAACTCATTGCTGTTAGGGCTAAAATCAAGATGCTTGTTTGAATTAAAGTTAATTTTAAGAGTAAAGTTATCTTTTTAGTTGTCAACTATTGTATAATTGTCACATTAAAATTTACTCTTTTCATTTGTATACCAACCCCAACAGAGTTTATGCAAAACACAAATGAAGGGAAGCTGAAAGACCATTACCATTAGATTTCCAGAAAACATGAATTAGTTCAATATGGCCTCTTATGACACAACTGAAATACAACCTCTCACCAACACAGAGATAAAAGAGTCAGAGTACTAAACCCAAATACACAAACTTCAGAAAGAAAAAAAAAAACTACAGAAATGACAAATGGCCACAAACACATGAACCCTAACCACGACATTCGAGTCCAAACCCCAACCTAAAATCGATACGATGCAAAAGACTAATCACCACTCCAACCTAAAATCAATACGATGCAAAACACTAATCACAATCAGGGGTCTCGACTTCAGCTTTCTCTTTCTCGGCATCCTGCACCTCCTTCTCGGTCTTCCTTCCTTTCTTCGATTTGTAGTACACGCTCATGAAGGTGCCCACGGCCTTATACTTGCGTCTGCAGTGCTCGTAGAGCCCAGCATCAAACATCCTCCAGAAGTTCTTCTCGGTCAACTCAGACACAGCATATTGTGGCTGGAAACCGTGGTTCTCAATCAACCACTCCTCCATTCGTTGCACAGCCAATGAACCATCAAACACTTCGCCTCTAAAGACGGAGGCAGGTGTATAGTAGACACCAACGTCAGTGTACATCTGAGCGTAATGTGTATCGCCCTGCCTGCGGTGCAGCTCAAATCCTGGCTCGGGGTACACCATGGTCTTGATCGGGAGCCTGTATAGTCTGTGTGGGCAAAGCCAAATCGGGTATACCTGAATTGAAGCAAAAGTATAAGATGATAGCTAAGTTTTGTTATTGTTAAGAGTCCACATTGATAAAATAAGAGAGAAAATATGGGTTTGGGTTTATAAGGTCATTGGTTGGATTCAATCTTTTAGTGCACCATAGCCCAGTTGAGTGACCCTGATCCAATCTTAGTTTATAACATGGTATCAGAGCACGGAACCGGATAGATTCAAATGGGAGTGTTAAGAGTCAATGTGTGGCCCGGTTAGACTAGCTAATTGGTTGGATTGGTTTGACCCATGTGCATTATAGCCCAGTTGAGTGACCCTGATCCAATCTTAGTTTATAACAGTTATAAAACGAAAAGGAATGCAGTAAAAACAGTACCTCCATCTCACGGTGAACCCACTCGAGAGCGTCTCCAACCTTGTAAAGAGGAACGAGCATATCCTGAATGACATGATTGTCGTGATAATAGTTCCTTATGGCCTCGCCTTGAGTAGCCTTGAGTAGAGAAACTTTCGGTGGCATCAACCACCCGAGAAGAAATCTAAACCACCACTGATCGGCGAATGGCAGGATGAGTTTACCTTCCCAGTACAGACATCTCGTATGCCTATGGTAGTATTCCCTGGTCGGGATGTACTCGACAAACTCGC